ACTACCGCCCTTGAGGATGAGTCCCTCTCCAGCCCCCTTGCAGCCCCCTTCAGACACTGGAAGGATAACAATGATAATCTATCTTCCAAGACCCAAAGCCCGGCCACTCACCAGCTGATCCACCGCCTCATTTCCCACCAGCGCTTCCCCAACGAACAGGACCAGGTCAGGAGTGTTGACAGCGATGAGTTTGGCCAACGCCGTCATCAAGGGCGCGTTGTCCTGCATGCGGCCCGCCGTGTCCACCAGGACCACGTCAAATCCCTGGTTCCGAGCTGGGGAAGATGAAGAAGAGGCACCACTGAGCGGGATGTTCCCCCCAAACACCACCTCCCACCACCAGCTCTTGGCACGTACCGTAAGCGATGGCCTCCATGGCAATCCCGGCCGCGTCCTTGCCGTAGCCCTTCTCGTAGAGCTGCACCATGGTGCGCCCGCCGTGGCTCTCCGGAGGGGGCAGGGCGCTGAGGCGCCGGGTGAAAAAAAAACTCCCGCCCGGAACGTGTCACAGGCGGCAATGAGGACACTGAAACCGTTCTCGATGAGCCAGAACGAGATCTGCAGCGGCAGGAGATGGAGAGGAAAAGCCCATTGGTAACTACAGCCCCACCTCCTCACCCTGCCCTCCTCACCAGGAGCATCGTGTCCCACCTTGGCCAGGTTGGTGGATTTCCCAACGCCGTTGACGCCACAGAAAGTGACCACGTAGGGTCGGCGGTGGCGCTGGGCATCCATGACATCCCGGAGGACGTCCACCCGGCGCTGGGGCTGCAGGATCTGGACGAGAGCCTCCTGCAGGGCCTGCTTCACTGTCGAGGTCACCGCTGGGAAGGAGGAGGTGGAATGAGAACCCATCACACTTGGGAATGCTCCTGAGCCCCACACCACGAGCAGGAGGCCTCATGGCCACTTACTGGTGAACGTTCCCATCACCTTCCCTTCCAGTTTCTTGGCCACTGACTCACAGAGCTGCACCGCGATCTCAGCTGCCACGTTTTTAGCTTCAAGAGGGAAACAGAGAGAGAGGAGAGGGAGGGCTGCTGAGGAGGTTACACACACCAGACATCAGTGTTGGGGGGAGGATGGAGTCACCATGCAGGATCACTACCAGACTAGACCGTTGACCCCCCCTTTTGATGCGTTGTCAAGCGCAAGACAAGAACCCACCACAGTTCCTGTGGGCAAGAATGTCCCAAACCATGGGTGCTACCCCATGGAGCCCCCACAAATTAACCCGCACGCAGCAGATCCAGACCTACCAATCAAATGATCCTTCATCTTCTCCAGTACAGGGTCCATGTCATCTCTTGTCAAGCTCTTGGAGCCCACCAGGCCTTTCAGCATGCCAAACATGCCCCCCAGGCCACCTTTCTTCGCACTGCAGAGAAGAGAAGTTACCTTTAGGTTTGAGGGGCGAGCTGTGTAGAGCCCACCACAGCTGACAACCACCACTTTGTCCCTGCTTCACGATCAGTTAAGAGTAAAGGAGCAGTTAGAGGGGAGAAACCAAGAGATATGTGACAAGCGGGGCTGCAGGAGCCTCTACCTGGGCTTTGAAGGGTTGTGAACAACCTTCTCCTCTTCAGCTTCCTCATCACTCTCATACTCAAGGTCGTAGAGGCGGCCGGGCTCCCGATTCCTGTCCCCCAGGGCCTGCGAGGAGGGAAGAAGACACCCTGAAAACCATCAACTGCTCCCCCTCATCCCACTCCAGCCGCATCCAGAGGCTCCATGGGCTGGGATCGCAATGCCTGGCTGACCCCAGCACAACTCGGGACACAGTGACCTGGCTTTTTCTTACTGCATCAGGGTCAAATTCTTCCACAGGGCAAGCCTCGGCGCTCCCGTTGGTAGCAGAGTTACTGTAATCCAGTACTTTGGCATTAGAGTTCTCCAGATCCCACACTCTGGGCTTCTTCCCTTTCTCCTTCTGTGCTTCGGGCTTTGGAGATTTGCTGGAATAAAGATGGGAAATGCGGTTTGTTCAGTGCAGGGAAGCAGCAGCGATGGCTGCCTTGGAGCATGTGACAATTAAAAGCCAGACAATTAACCCAGAAAGGCAGAAATTAAGGCTAAAGTTGGTTGATTTAGTCTCCAGAGTTTCATTTTCTGATGTTTAACCCTGTATCAGACCCCTTCACCCCAAGCCAGGCATCGATGCGCTGCTGCCCTTTGCTCACAGCGCTCCTGGGCGCACGCTGGGTTCCTGGCTCTTCCAGGGAAAGAATGAACCAGGTGCTATTATACCTTCAGGACCCACAGTGTGCCCTCTCCCAGTCCTCCCAGCAAGCAGGGAAATAAGGAAAAGAGAAAGCAAGGTTTGAATTCTGGAAGTCCCCAAAGGCTGGAGAGATCGGCCGTGGCTGAGGGACAGCAGGTTTGGAGCATGGGCAGCCCGAGAGTGTCCTTGTCACCCACCTGGACTTCTCCCCTGCTTTCATGTGTCTCCTGAAGAATTCCTCCCGGTTCTTCTGCAGGATTTCATCCTTGGTCAGCTCCTCCCTGTCCCCAGAGGACTGCTTGTCACCAGCAGAGGCTTTGCCAGGCGCTGCGACAGCTTCAGTTCCTGATGGGAAGAACCCAACATGAGCTCAGTTCGGGAGCACGAGAGGACCGGGAAAGACACAGAACTCTGGAATCTTTATCCCCTCCCTGCCCCAGTTTTCTTTCCTGTGAACTCACCCTCCTTTTTGGAACCTTTGTTCTTCTTGTTCTTGACTTTCTCCTTTGGTTTCTCCCCTCGGGTTTCAATCATACACTTGACAGTCTTCTGAGACTTCAGAGACTGCTCAAACGTCTTCATTACCGTGGGAGCTCGGACTTTACTGCTCTCCTCTGCATCCCTGTGGAGAGGCAACCTGTTAAGAGCCTGAATTTCAGCTCCACCTCCAGTCTAAACAGGAATGTGGGAGGAAAAACCAGGCTCCGCTACCGGAGGAGGCGCATGAAGTCGTCTTTAAAATCAAAGGTGCCATTTAGGAGGCCCAGGGTGCCCTTCTGCTGGAACTCGTTGCGGTACTTGTCCCTGAACTCCTTGTGAACGTCGTCTATCAACTTGTCCACGTAGGTTAGAGTCAGGATCTTCTGAAACCCCACCTGGGAAGCAGCACAGTGGAAAGACGTTGGTCTATCACCTGGTTTAAGTGCAACATCTACCTGGCATGGAGGGGAAAACCTCTCTGGAGGTTTTCTTTTCCAAGGGAAAAGAAAAAGGGAGAACAGTGGCATAGAGCTTCACTTTCAAAGACAACACTGATAAAACCACGTTGACTGTTTCACAGCAACAAAGCCATGTAGCACACCAGGAAAGTTTTTGCTTATCTTCAGGTGCAAATGGAGGTTGTGTGGAGTTGCAGAGATAAGGTCAGCAAGATGACAAGGAAGTGCGTTAAAACACTCCAAGCCAGGCTGGACACAAGGGCTTGGAGCAACCTGCTCTAGTGGAATGTGTCCCTGCCCATGGCAGGGGGTTGGAACTGGATGAGCTTTAAGGTCCCTTCAACCCAAACCATCCTGTGATTTATTTTATGACTCCCTGAAGTAAAGGGATGACACAGGGGTTGGCGTTGGGACCAATCCTGTTCAACATCTTTGCAGTGACATAGACAGTGGGACTGATGCACCCTCAGCGAGTTTGCCAATAGCACTAAGTTATATGGTTCAGTTGATACACCGGAGGGAAGGGATGGGATCCAGAGGGACC